GAATTAGAAGTACAAAACGAGGATTTGTAAAGAAGAATGTCGGAGGATTTCGATATAAGCCAAGAGGAGACTGGTTTTCTTTTGCTAAAGTAAAGAAACTTTGCTTCCTTTGCTCCTGTAAACAAACGTTGGTTTTCATGAGACTCACCGGCGCATGCGCAACGCTGACCTCATACGTCATTCCCCCGGAGCTGCTTCTGTGTACAACAGTGAGCGCAAGCTACATTAAAGTGATTATTACGTTTTGAATATGGATATTTTTCTTACAAAAACGCATCGATTCGCTACAGGAGGCCTTTGTTCAGCCCCCGGAGCCGTGTGAGACACTTTATTTTAATGGATGGGCACTTTTTATTTAACTTCTTTTGGACTGAAGCACTGGCATTAAACAGCTTGAAAGATCAAAGACCATTTTTAATATAACTCCGACTGGATTCTTCTGAAAGAAGAAAGTCAATATACACCTAGGATGACTTGAGGGTAATTTATGGGCTAATTTTCATTTTTGGGTGAACTAACCCTTTAAGAGGCTCTTTATACTGACAACATCTGAATCAGTGTAAGAGCAATGCAGAAGGAACTGCTTTTTTACGCTAATACATTCATGAAGTTAGGATTTACAGATGAATGCATCTGATAACCATCCATTTAATGGAAGATTCTTGTAATCTAGGATACGTCTGTTCAGTTTGACAGCACTTTTTCTTTTCAGATTTTGTTTACTGCCCGGAGGAGTGCGTTAGTTGTGCAGATTGTGAAATCGAAAGACACCTGATGCGGTTTGGGAGACACCTGTGCTCTGTGGCGGCATGTGCCGGTTTGCATGTACACGTTTGTTTGACGTGCCTGCGGTCTGGTTCCCAGTCCCTTGTGAGGATGAGGCGACACAGCATAAGATCTAGAAAGCACATGTATCCCAGAAAAAAAGCCTTTAGTTTGTTTTTGTGACCACTGAGTACCCAAAATTAAATTGGAGGCTGGTGACTCTTTACGGTCATCGACCTTGTGCATGTTAACCATTTATATAATTAGTCAAATCAGATCGGCCTTTCCTTTGTGAACAATATGTATTTAATATAAATAGCCTACACAACCAGTCAAACGTTTGGAATAATTACGAATTTTTAAACTTTTTTTTTTTATTACGAAGTCTCTCATGCTAACCAAGGCTGCATTTGTTTGTTCAGAAATATAGTAAAACAGTAATATTGTGAGTATTACTAATTTAAAATAAAGGTTTTCTATATATTTTAAGATATAATTTATGCCTGTTATGGCAAAGCTGGATTTCGAGCATCATTACTCCAGTCTTCAGTGTCACATGATCCTTCAGAAATCACTCCCAACTAGTCAAATAATATATTTTCTAAATCTTCATGACTATTTCCTACTGTAAAATGTTCACTTTGAATGCATTGAAAGCTCGCCACTCTCCCAATTCAACTCTCCCAATTCAACTCTCCCAATTCAAAACGAGGAAGCACAAGTAGGATAGAAACGCCAGCGCGGATGATCGTGTTGCGCATGCGTCACTCACGGCCACGCCCCCTGCGAGAGCGCAGATCCCTTAAATCCTGAAGAGCGCCTTTACTACTGTATGTGAGACGCACCGATTACAAACATGCGCTGCAAGATGAGTTATTGCCTGCCGTACTCCCCTGGATCCTCTCCTACACACTCTGGGAGGTTATTATACAGAGCACGATGCAGGTAAACGTTATACATTTACAGCAGGATTACAACGCGATGCTTTTTATTAACTCGAGTTGTTGCTTTGTCGCCTTGTCGCCTGATGTGCTTGTGCTTAGGGAGGCTTTTCTGAAAAGACGCTGCATTTCTCAGTTTTCTCCGTTATGATCTGTGTTGTAAACACAGTTGTGCTAAATGTGGGTTTATGTGATATTAGATTTGTGAATGAATGTGGGGTTGTATTGCGAAATGAGCTTGCAAAGACATGCATGTCACGTACGCAGCGTCTCAGTAGCGCGAATGAACACGAATACATCTAAACACTTGTAGTGTACTTTACAGGTTGCGTTTATACTAAAACACTTCAGCATGCAAGGTGTTTATTATTTATGATTAGTTTGCGTTAAAGCCTCGGTTGTTTTAATCGTACGCTAGAAATCTAAGCCGCGTTATTGCGCAACGAGCCGTAAAACTTAACTCGAGGCGTTTAAAAAAAAGATGTACTGTTTAACTTGCCCTAAAAACGCAGCGTTCGTGGCACAAAATGCGTCCCGACGCGCGTTTTCATTGATGGTGAGCGAGAACGCGTTCGGTGTGAACGGCCACTAACAGTAGCCTATTAAAGAAGTTTACTTTTTTCTTCTGTTTTTGTTAATAATGGATAAATGCACTTGATATTTAGCTCTGTCTGTTAGTAGTTTTGTTTTAAACGTTTGTATTTTGCAATAGTATTATACCTTCATAACTTAATTATTTATGCATAAGTTCTGAATATATTTCCTAATGCGTAATGGATTGTGATGTTGACAGCAGGGGCGAGTCTAGGATTTTCATTTAGGGGGGCTCAGCCTCAGTGAGGGTATAATAATAATAATAACCTAATAATTGTTTTTTTCTTTTTATATATATATAAAATAAAAAATGTTTGAGTAATAGTTGTATACTAAACTTATTGCAGTATTCCACTGTATTGCATGGATAGGTATAACATTTGAGTACTGAATAAGCCAAATTCAAGTCTTCATGATCTCACACACACAACCTGTTTACTGTAGGCTACAAACACAACATTTTATTATTTGCATTTCTAGTATTCCTTATCTCAAGTAGGCCTATGCAAACCTCTTTGCCACATGCATTGGAATATGTATTATATTGAAAGTTAAATTTTCAAATGAAAATAGCAACATGATCGTTTTATAAAGTATGCGTTCATATGCTTCATTTTCGCTGGAGGAAACAGCTGTGGTGTGATGAGGGGTGAACGCAGCGAAAACTTTACAGTAGATGGGGAACCAACCGATTATTGCTCTCCCATGATATTTTGTAAACTGGATTTATGACAAAGAACTGCACAGATGCATATATTATAACAGTATATCGATAAACACACACTTTGTCCTCTGTTTCTCGCACTGAGCCCTAAAAATGGCCTAGCGATGCCCATGGTTGACAGGTTGTTTTGAAAGTGGAGTATGTGCATGCCTCATTTCTAATCTCGGAGCTCTCAACACGTGTATGATTTTACATGATATGTGCTGATAAGCATAACAAGGAAATGTCATCTAAATTCACCATTGTGAAGTATTGCACACTGATAGCTGGAAGTGTGATTCAGCCGAGATTATGTAAGGTGCTTGACAGGACTTGCATATTCCTTAGAAGAGATCTCAGTGTAAACTCTTTTTTTTTAAGCGTCGTCTTTGTTTTCTTTCTGCAGTGCCTCTGGCGCCAGTGTTGTGGCCATTGATAACAAAATAGAGCAAGCTATGGTGAGTATTTTAATGGTTTCTTTAAAAAAAACAAAAATTCTGAATTTAAAATAATTTAGATATTTTACTTGGGACATAAAGGAAAGAACCATTAAGGTTATGCAATTGTCTTATGCATGTTCTGCAAGACCGCCCCTTTCCATTAAACATATTTTATTGGAATGTCCCGGTTTTAATGCAAGTAGAACATTTTATTTTAGAAGTACGCTCACTCAGGGACTTGTTTAGTAAGATTTTACCAGAAAAGATTTTAGAATTTTTATCATATGTTAATTAAAAAAAATCTTGTATAATTTTAACTGCTGTATTTTTTGTGTTTGCTTGGTTTTTATTTTGTGTTTATGTAACTCTCTTGAATCATCCCAACTCAGTTTTTGCCATGATGATAGCCTTAGATGCTGACAAGGCATTAAAATAAATAACTATGCAAGTGTCTAAATAAAACATTATTGAAAAGAAAACCTTAAGTAGTTTATTACTATAAAAAAAAACTAAACTTTTTGCCTGCAAAATCAGTCATTTTATGACACGGGAAGGATATTTTTCAGTTGTAAAATTGAATATGGTGTGACTCCACCACAATATAATGGTATTTATAAATTAATAATTCATGATATTTGTAAACAATACTTTTTGAAAACCTAATAATAATGATTAAGATGTGTAAAACCTTTTACTATCCATTTATTTATTTGCTTGATTGTTATACCACATGACATTTTTGGAGTCATTAAATTAAACATTTTTTAAATCCATATAAAGGCAGAATACATATAAAGAGTGCATTTCTAATAACAAACTCAATGTAATCAATCCCAATGTTGGGAGATAAAGTTTTATAGAAACATTTTTCAAGTTGATGGAACCAGATTGATTTGCGAATTTTAGTTTTTATTATTAGAAGATCCACCAACATATTGTTTTTGTCAAAATGCTTTATCCCTGAAACATGTTTTATTAGATAGTAGGGCTGGGTTTTGACACAAATTTCACGATTCGATTCTCATTCACAAGCTTTCGATTCGATCCAATATTGATTATTTTGGATATGCTATATATCAGGTACAGTACATGCCAAATTTTCTCAAGGAAAAAAAATCTCTCAACTAATGCTGTAAAATATACACGAGAGTCAGTGTGTACTACATTACTATAACATTGAAGGTTAAAATTTAAGTTTTTCAAATAATAAAGTTACAATTACATAATAATATTTCTACTTCAATTCGTTTTTTTAATATAAACATAATGGTGGCTGTTGAAATGGACAGAATTTGAAATCTGAGACATTGTTTCATATTAAAAGCACCAAAGCACAATGCTTATTGAGATTTATTGGATGGGAAGTGTGCTTCAACGTTCCGTCCATTAACTGAAAACAGGCTAGACTAATCGACTCTTGGGATTTAAGAATCGATATCGTTCCGTAAAAATGCGAATCGATTAATATCGAGATATCTATATTTTTTACCCAGCCCTATTAGATCGTGCTGGTAAGATAAGCCAAATATAATTGTAGAGTTTTAAGCAAAAATGCGTCTGATATAATTCACTATAAATTTTCCTCGCCATAAAAAAACTTTGACTGACCACCGTTGTGCTCTCCTCCTCAGGATCTTGTGAAAAGCCATTTAATGTACGCCGTGCGCGAGGAAGTGGAGGTCTTGAAGGAGCAGATCAAGGAGCTCTATGAGAGGAACTCGCTTCTGGAGAGGGAGAACGCAGTATTAAAATCTCTGGCCAACACTGAGCAGCTGACCCAGCTCAACAACCTCGGCAGCACTTCACCCCAACAGACGGCGGTCAACGCCATCCTACAGGAAGGAAGCAAACTCGTGGCCTTGCCCCCGCAACCCAACGTGTCCACAGCGTGAACAACAACAAAAAAATGACAATCTGCAAAGGAGGTTTTGGTTTGCCACTTGCGGAGAGCCATGCTTCGTTATACGCGCTGCTTGGCTTTCCCAGTATTAGACAATCATTTTGGGAGAAGCAGACTTGGCTTTATGTGGGTATGGGCTGCTGGCAGGCGCAGGCGAAAGAGTTCAGTAGATTTAGCAGGAAGCTTGTCTGTCGCTTTCAGAGTCTCAGGCGAAGCCAAACACCGTGGAAAGCTTGGGAGAGCCTCTTTAGTTTTACTGTTTGCATATAATTATTAGAGGGCTGCTATTTTCATAATGTAAATGAACAATGTAACAGAGATCTATTATATATATATATATATATATATATAAGAACTGTTCTTTAGGTTTCTGAAATGTAAGATACTTGTTTATCAAGGCAATAATGTCCCCATGGCACAGTTCCAACACTAAAAGTGATTCAACAGCATTGCTGATACACAGTCCTGTATAGTTGAGTTGGTTCGGGGTTGAATGTACATGTGTATAGATTGTAAAGTATTAAAGTATGTTGTACAGGTGAGCAGCAGTTATCAAGTATTTTCCTTTCGGATTTAATTAAGTATACTTGCTATACTTTCCCTAAGTACTTAAATTCTGATTTCCAATTCTGATACATTTTGTATTTTAGGAGCTGTGAATGAGTTTGTACGACATATTTGTAACCAAAGAAGAAAAGCTGTATTTGTTTTGTAACGCACATTTTCTTGTTTGTTTGCTCGCGCTTTTTTTTTTTTTTTACTTCGTCACCTTTTGTGTCTGATTAGCTTGTGCTGCATGATCTATCATGACTATTTTCTTACCTCATGTTTTTTATTCGTCATAATTTAAGCAGTCTGTGAACAATGTTTGATTGTGGATGGTGAAGGGTGATTTTTGGAGTTAAAAACCCAGTAACGTAAAAAATGGTTTGCATGGTGTTAAAAAACGTGATATACAGACAAATGTTTATTTCATTGCAGAAAATGTACAAAATAAATGCCGATTTATATTTCCAGGTGTAGTTCACACTGATTACTTTCAAAGAATAATCAAATAATCATCGTAATGAAATCAAAGCCGCAAAAGTGTTCACAGATGTCATTTATGTATAGGGCATGTCCTCTGTTTTCAGTGTCTTTTGTGCCTCTTGTACTATAGATGCAGCGATCTGGTTTATTTTTTGCCCAGTTTGAGCCAAACAGAAATATCGTACAATCACTGTACATCAGTCTGAGCTTTTTAGGTTTGCTTGTTTTTCTTCTTTTTTTTTGTTGAAGGAAATGTAGTATACAAGCAAAATGCGATGCATTGTACTTGATCACTGAGCCTTTGAGAATATCTTAAAAATACCCTTGTAATGTGCTGTTTTGAAAAAGTTTAGTTTTCTGTTGGAAATAAATTGCTGTTCCATCGAGAACTAAAGCATTTTAAATGTGTTGCTATATTATTGTGCATAACTCACACAACAAACATATAGTACTGTATATATTAACTGACATGAATTACTAACTTTTTAAAGATGAGTTACAAGCACACTTGGCTACTTAAATGTGGACATACTATAGACTCTAATAAGACAATAGTGTCATTACCTTTACGAAAAAATTTTTTTTACCATAAATAAAATACTATAGTTATAACCACAAATTAACCATGCTCTTGCTACACTAACCATAGTTTAACCATGGTATTTATAGTAAAACAAATGGTAATCAATGCGCCAAAAAAAACACGGTCACTACACTTTTACTACAATAAAACCATGGTTAATATCCCTAAGGTTCAATAAGGCTCAACAACAGTGTGAATGTTGCAAAGTTCATCAGTTATGAAGCGAACTGAACTCGACTCGGCTGTAAAGCAGCTCTACAGAATATAACCGAGCCATTATTCAGCTCAAATCAGTTCAGTGTTGATTCATTCAGTTCAAAAACAGTGCCAACCCTGTTGAAAAAACCAGCATATGCTGGTTAGGTATGTTTTGACGCTGGGATGCTGGTTTAAGATGGTCCTTTGCTGGT